ATCAATTATGTAATATTCTGATAGTCATCTTATGATTATAAACTGGTTAAACATTATCAGTCGTGAACTAAGCTTCCTTGATTCTGTTTAAGAATCGAATCCGGAAGCGTAAGTTGCAATTTCCGAGTGGGACAAAAACGAATGACTTTCACTCGGCTTTGTCTGCTACGAATTCTTATGGAATAGAATGTCGCATGGTATAACTGGTAGGGTGACTTGTTATGGGCCAACTAAGTATTTGATACGTGACGCAATGGTTATCAGTTCATTACAGAGAAGTTCACTGTATATATTTAATATCATAACTGTATAACAATTTTTTTCCTCAGTTCCGATCGATTCGCATCAACACTGTGATTAGTTATCGATATTCCGGTTGTCTTAGAATCAGATTAGCCTGGCTTGTAATTTCCTTATCGCTCATAATAACATGCTTTCATTTAGTGTCACAAGTTAATCAATCCCTCCTGTTTACACTGTCATAGTTGTTCTCCAATCATTTCGAATACAAATTAAACATTTTTAATATGTTTCAGTACGAAGTATTAAAATACAGGTTTCTTTATATTGAAGAATCATCAACGATCAATGTAAGAATACATTTAATGACAGACCATTATAATAGTTGTACTGGATACTCATTTCAGTTGATTATAGATAATACAGAATTTAGCATAGGCAATAAGGCACAAAATAATTATCATGTAATAATTAAAAAACATTTATTATGTCCTTTGACTGCTCTGGTAGATTTAGTGTTAACATCTTCTTCAAGATTTTATTTATTGTAGTTTGAATTCGTTTTGAAATGAAACAAAGTGAACGAGGTTCAAGGCCCACCGATTGTCTGCAGGACTACGAGACATCCGCGTGGTCACGGGTCACGCAGTCAGAGACCCTGAACGATTTGTATGAAGAAGACGCATTGATCCGTGATAATGCCAACTCCCTTCTACGGTATTTCGAGCGTCACGAGTTTTTCGCACCGCGATCGCATGAATTATTTATCGTTTAACGGAGACAGGAAAATCTATGGGTTTTGAGAGCCATCGGGTTACGATTTATTGGAATTGCCTGCTCGTATCATTTTTGTTTATTCATTGGCGAACGGTAAAACTGTCTACGAATTTGTTAGACCAACGACCTTGCGTTGAACGCTTATCTGAGTAAGATAAATCGTTCTGGTATTTGAAATCAGGCTTAGAGGAGACCGCGGCTGATTTATTATTCGCTCGCATGGAATAATCGTATGCAGGCAACTAGAAGCTCTAATGATTCAATCTTTAACACTTTCGATACCGATTCAGCTTTCTCTTCAGTTTCTATGCTTCACTTGAACACTTCAATTTGTATGATTAATGAACGGACACTCCTTAGGTATCATTTTTAGAGGTACACGTAATACACAAGGCGGTACGTAACACGAAAAACTTGCAAGCTTTGATAAATTGTAATACGTCCGACGTATTCGGAGGATACAAATTTCTTTAGGAATTTCCTGAGGCGGTGCAGGGTTACGGAACGAAGAAAGTGACGTTGGCGAGCAGCGAGTTGGAATCTGGACGTAATTACAGAACGAGGAGCGTTCGCTTTCGGGATCGAAAAGTCTCCGCCGGGAATCTCGACGGAGGATCGAACACGGGCTGGGAGTGAACACTTTTGCATTGCAGATGTCATTCGAGAATGCTTTGCATTTATGGGTGTGTACTCCCGGCCGGAGCGAGAGATAATTTAATGCGGACGCAAGTAGAATGCGACCATCCGTACGTCTCGAGATCGAAGCTACGCTCAGACACCAACGTGGAGACGGTCCGCTTTCAGTGGTGCACAATATCCTGGCTTGCGTAACTGCTTCCTAATGATAATCGAGTTCATGGAAGTCCGGGTAATCAGCCTCTTAGCCCTCCCCGCCCGTCTCGTTACAGTAGAATGCGGAAACGCTTGCGGTGAACGCGAAATCGATTCGTTAATTGTTCAACCGTTTGCTGTTATTTTCCGAGATTATTTTTTACGTGTATATAATGGCACTGTTTCGAGAGTCATCAAGTATGATTAACGAGAGATTGCGGCGCGAGGAAAGTGTTTATCGATCGGCTGTGATTCGAGTAAGCGTACATTGTCTACCAAAAGTTCACTTTACATTATCATATACCTATACATTTATTTTATGTAGTAAAGTAAGAATGTTTTAAACGTTTGAATGACGACGTAGAATGAATGTTAGAGTAATTATAGGGTAGCTGATAATTGTTTTTAATTAAGGCTCACCTGAAGGCAACCGCAGAAAGACTTCTTCACCCGCGATGGCATCGTCTGGCAGCGACCGACGAATTCCTTCAGGGGCTGTGGACTCTTCACTGGACAGCTCGGAATCCTCTATAATCAAAAAGACATTCGATTTTTTATATAAACGAGTGAAACACTATTATACATAAAATTCTAACTACGATCGTTCATTCATATTTATTATCAATTATGTAATATTCTGATAGTCATCTTATGATTATAAACTGGTTAAACATTATCAGTCGTGAACTAAGCTTCCTTGATTCTGTTTAAGAATCGAATCCGGAAGCGTAAGTTGCAATTTCCGAGTGGGACAAAAACGAATGACTTTCACTCGGCTTTGTCTGCTACGAATTCTTATGGAATAGAATGTCGCATGGTATAACTGGTAGGGTGACTTGTTATGGGCCAACTAAGTATTTGATACGTGACGCAATGGTTATCAGTTCATTACAGAGAAGTTCACTGTATATATTTAATATCATAACTGTATAACAATTTTTTTCCTCAGTTCCGATCGATTCGCATCAACACTGTGATTAGTTATCGATATTCCGGTTGTCTTAGAATCAGATTAGCCTGGCTTGTAATTTCCTTATCGCTCATAATAACATGCTTTCATTTAGTGTCACAAGTTAATCAATCCCTCCTGTTTACACTGTCATAGTTGTTCTCCAATCATTTCGAATACAAATTAAACATTTTTAATATGTTTCAGTACGAAGTATTAAAATACAGGTTTCTTTATATTGAAGAATCATCAACGATCAATGTAAGAATACATTTAATGACAGACCATTATAATAGTTGTACTGGATACTCATTTATTTAATATCGAACTTGCCAAGCTTGTTTTTAATACATTTCTACACGTAGTAATAAAATAATTTATTTGAAAAATGATTAAAGGGCAACGTAACACTTGATCACACACCAGGTATCTCCTCCATGTCATCGCATCCCTGGGTTCTGGACAGGGTTCAATCTCCTCGTGCTGACCGTCGACAGGCATGACTTTTTCCAATTCGGTGATATGAATGAAACATTCGTAATCTCGGGTCAATTTCACTTTTGCGCGTTCGTAGCACGGCGTCGGAGAGACTGGCACTTGTGGCCCGAAGAGTCTCGGGCCGGCGCGACGCGACAACGAGGCCGAGTCAACGTAGGTAGCATGTATGTAGTCCCTGTTATCGTGCCGTCAAATTTTTTATCGCAGAAAAATAACGAACGCCAGGTAATTTCTGCCAGCAGGTTATCGCGCGAGTATGCATATCTCCGAGGTCTCGTCCAGCAATAGGCGACTGATAACACCTGTGTACGTTTAGGACGTTCGAACGTGTGACACGAGTTAAAATCTGATAGAAAATCGGGAATGTTTATCGTAGATTTTCGACAGGTCCCATGACAGATGTTCGCTCATTATCATATCTTATCACGTGTACCGACATGTGCCTCGCTAAAAATCTTCCGAAACACGTGTAACACGAAACGACTGAGGAACATATTATGTAAAATTTAATCTGATTTTAGTGAACGTTCCCTGGCACAATTTTACTAATTTGCATATAGTATAATTATTGTTTATCGCGATCTAGAAAAAACCGCAGCCTCGATAGCCAGTTACTTTCTACGTTGTCGCGAAAATTTATGGCACTCCGGATCACTGGATTTCCATGGCATCGTTAAAGGGGAATGATGAACGTCCGAGCTTTAACACCTTTCTCTTGGAAAGCACGATTTTTCCACGATTAATTCACCGGCACCGCACGTGACGTCTTGACAACGTCGACGGTTACTCCTTTTATGCGACGGGACGACTATCGCCCTCGGGGTAATCGTAACCTTCTTAACTCAGAGCCCGTGTAACGAGATTGTTGTACACGCGTAACTGTCGCACGCGAGCGAGAGCAATTCTTAGCGGCCAGTTATCCATCGTGAAATTCCCCGAGTAGAAATCGAGGATGGGCTCGTCGTTTGTTCTACCATCGAGCTATCATTTGTTTCTAAGAGCGTACGCGCTCACAGAATGACATAATCCGAAATAACCTACTTGAAATCGTTGGATACACGAACGGGCGATCGTCGAATGGAAATTCTTGAATTTCAAGAGGACAGGAGACGTTATAGTAAACACGCTGGGCCGTGCGATTTCAACTACGACGAGTGCTTAAATTGTTTCCTCTTGGGACATCGGATCACGCCAGCTTGTCACGCTGTGTAGATTCGCAACTGTAAATAATAAGAGGCCAGTGGCTCCCAAATTATTTACAAGCTAGAAAGTCGAATCGTAATGTGGATTTAAAAAATATTCACGTAAATTATGTAAATCCGATGATTCGAATTTGCTTGCATAATTCGATTAGGTCGGGAAGGAAGAAAATCGCGTTTGACAGGCGATTAACCTTCGCGGTTCGTTAATATCGCGGGAGACGAGAAATCTCGAACGGTCCACGCAGATTTTCACTCGGACGGTGGCATCCTCGAAAGCGCGGCTCGCCTGGGGCCGCGCGAAACGAGGCCTCCGTGGGGCACAGGTGAACTTTCGAGTCTCGCTCGGCTCGCTGGACAAAACGATGATCGACGTCGAATGAGGGCAATCGTTCGTACGAGTTTTAATTATCGCTGCCTATACATTAGACCGCAAATTTTTATGCAAAACAAAACATTCGAGATGTCAGTTTGAAAAATGATCTATAATTTATACGAGTTGCATTATTTGCAGATCTGAATATTCTATAAATACATCAAATTCTCAACTGTAAGATACGATGGCTGATTTCCCTTTCATTTTCTTTGTCACGTAGGAAGAAATGTAGCTCCGTCATTTATAATTACTTCTAATTACTTTCACTCGAGAAAGACACGTTCATTGAACCGATCAACTTTTCCATTCACACTGGAATAATTAAACGCTTGGTTCATTAATAATAAAAAAAGTCAGTATAAAATATTCGGTGGTTCGTAGTTATTTATGAAAACGACAGGAAGATGCATTCGCGTGGACGTCTAATCGGATGAAAATCCCTTACGCTTTCACTGAGAAGGAAAACAGGATCGGCCACCTACACGTCCGAATACCACGAGTTTCCAATTGCCTGGCCATTAATTCACGTTTCCTAATATTTCTATTAGCCGAGAGGTAACGCCGGTCGGAAGAAGCGAGCATTAAAATCAAATCTCATGGTACCGGTTTCCCGGGCTCGGTTATTCTTCACCACGTTCGAAAACACTCTCACGCGATTTGTCATCGTGGTCCGGCTCGTGTATCATTCGGGAATGCTAATTGCAAGCCCTGAGACATGCTACAACCGATTATTCTTTGCCTCCGCTGTGGAAATCAATTCAATTTAATTAGCTTCTTCCTAATATAATTACGTGGCAATTACATTTTTATGC